ACGGTTCCCATCATCAGCACCCCCGCTGTGAAAATACTTCCAGCACCTCTGCCTCCTCCTCCAGCCCGGGTGCTGGAAGTGGAAGGGGGAAAGAGGCCATGGCCCTCCCACCCTTCACTATGGGCCTGGCCCCCAGCCCTCCTCTTCCCACCGACGCCCTGCCCCCGGCTGCAGCCCGGCCCGAGTAAGAGCAGCCCAGGAAGCCTGGGTAGTTGTGGGGAGTCGTGGACCCTCCATCTGCCTGAGGTGGGGGGCCTGAGCTTAGCCCCCAGCCTGTGTTCCCATTCCCTGACCCCACCCCCACCCCGGGCAGATGGAGGGTCTGTGGTTCCCTACAGCTGCCTGGGCATCTCTTACACCAATACAGTTGCAGTTCGTTGGCCTTTGAGGCCCTGCCCTCTGGCCAGGCCAGAAACTGGAGCCGGTTGGGGTAAGAGCCACATGGGCAGCTGTGGGGAGTGGCAGACCCTCCGTCTGCTCTGAGTGCAGGTCCCCGGGGACAATGGGGCAGGCTGGTGTCTACTTTCAGTCCCTCTTATGAAGGTCTTGTTCTTCATGTGGCAATGAGTTCCACAGTCTAATTAGGAGGCGGTGGAGGAGTCTTCTAGGGGGAAGAGGAGGTGCAGGGGCATGGCCACAGCAGGGGCGGGGTCTTATACGCCCTCCCACCCACACACATTTTTAGGAAGAATCCGTTGCCCCCGCCTGCAGCCAGTGGTCACCGGGCTCAACGTGCACACACATTTTTAGGAAGAATCCGTTGCCCCCGCCTGCAGCCAGTGGTCACAGGGCTCAACGTGTCTGTGGCCACCCATGACACTTGCCGCTCAGGGTCCCATAACCGCCAACAGCAGCCTGAGCACAGCTGGCTTTGTGCAATAGTGGAACCCTCCTGGGGCTTAAACAAGGGCCCTGCAGCCCCCACCCGCCCCCATAGCTCACGCCCCACCCCACCCAGCTCCCTGCTTTGCACCCCAGACTTTCATTTCTCGTGCTCTCCTGCGCGGCGCAGGGAGTCTCAGTCGCTCCCTGCCCATTTCCTCGCTTCGTTTTTACTAAGCTGTTCTCAGTCTTAATTGAGTTTTTTGGGGTGGGGTTTGTTTTGGAGACAGGCGTTTTATCATGGTGCACAGACAATAGTCATTGCCCCGCAACACACACACACACACACACGCACACTTCTGTTCGGGGTGAACGGTAGAAGAACTTTATCTAGTCACACTTTTATGTGAGTGCCACGCTCCAGCGCTCTATCGACTGACCCCCCTGAACTCCCCCTCGCTGTATCTCCGCGCTTCAGGCGGGCCAGGAAGAATTGTTGCAGTACAGCCGGAGGAGGTTAACAGCTTGCCGAGGGCATGCACCGTGTTTGCTGGAGTCTAACTGATCCAGGAACAAGGAAGCATTTAACCTCGGGGCAGAGTTTATACCAGGCCCCAATTTACGACGAGTCAATACATCAAAACGATCCCGTCTGCAGGCATTGGTTCTTGTCGCCAGGCGTCCAGCGTTCACCCTCCCCGGAAAGGAAAAGCCGCCAGCGCCCTGGGAAAGGGAAGGCTAGGAGGTGCCTCCCATTACCCAGCAGCCACAAGATGAGTGATGCATGGCCCCCAGGTTTTGTCCCTAGACGTGGAAGGTGAAGAATGCAAAGCGGGGAGGGAAGAGTTACCCTCCCGGGCAGTGTTAGGCTCAATACATTAACCATTGGGCATCTCCTCAATGCATAAGCTCCCCCCCCCCCCCCCACACACACATGCCCTGACAGGCAAGAAGCCACCTCTTCTCTTCCCCAACCATAGGCAGCACCAGAATCCCAGACCCTTCTCCCCCCTCCCATGCCTCACTGGCCCACCTCATGCCCCTGCACACCTGGTTCACTCTCTCGCTCGGCCTGTGGTCTCCTCTGGGCTTTTACTCCCAGCACTGCTCCCCTTGCAGACCCTTGGTTCTCTGGTCAGGCTGCCGGAATCCTGCACCCATCTTTGGACTTCTCCCTTTGCCTTCCCACTTCCCCACCCCTCTGGTGTGAACAGAGAACAGGCGATCCCCGATGTCCGGAGATGTAAATAACTGGACACCTGTTGGGGTTTGCTTCCGCAAGCACGAATCCACTTTCCTTCCTTTTCTTCCCTCGTTCTCTTACCCTCCCCCGTCCCCTGTTCCTGTTTGTCTCCCCATATATCATATTTTCGGGAACGCCTTAACCACGTTACAGAAATGCAACTAACCAATCCTAACATGATTATCTCACCAAGTATCCCACCACCTTAATTGGTTTACAGCCAGCAAAATTAACTGTATGGGAGACAGAAAAGAAAAGCACCAGAGACCATACAGATTGGGGCATAATACTGAAGCAATAAAGAAATGAGGATTTCACAACCCCAACTATTGATAAGTGGGTCCTTGCCAGCTGGAGAGCTCTCAGCCTGAGTTTTCTTTAAATCCCCTCGGCTCTTCCCTTTATCTGGAGGCGACAGATTGGATCACCTGTCCGACAGCCCCAAGCGGCCTCCTTTCAATGCGACTGGTTGGAATGTGTCAAGATGCGACTGCATTTTCCAGTGTATGGATGCCCCTGCTGCTTAGCCAAATGCCTTAGCACAAGAACTAGGCCTCAGACCATCACACACAGATAGACTGTGATTTTGGCTCTCTGCTTCTATCCCCTTGTCATTAGCAAAATGGTAAGAATACACCGAAATTCGTAAAGTATAGGCCTTTACAGGAAGTCCTATCTATATTGGGGCGGGGAAACAATGGCCTGGGGGCTGGATCTGGCCCCCAGCTTGCCTGAATCCAGCCCCTGAGACTCGGGGTTCCCTCCCTGCATTAGGGAGCTGGTGCTCCCGCCCTGCGCCCCTCCCCCCAGACCCTGCACTCTCTGCCCACTCCTGCACCCTCCCACCCAGACCCCACATCCCAAGGTTGCTTCCTGGCAGCCCCCTCCCACGCACTGAACTTCCAGGCTGTCTCTAGACTGCACCCCTTTTCCGTAAAAGGGATGCAAATTAGACACAGCGCAGTTGCAAATGAAGCGGGGATTTAAATCTTCCTCGCTTCATTTGCATAAACATGGCTGCCGCTTTTTTCCGGCTCGGGGCTTTGCCGGCAAAAAGCGCCAGTCTAGATGGGGATCTTTCGGAAAATAAAGCCTTTTCCAAAAGATCCCTTATTCTTCTTAAAATCAGGAATAAGGGATCTTTTGGAAAAGGCTTTATTTTCTGAAAGATCCCCGTCTAGACTGGCGCTTTATGCCGGCAAAGCCCCGAGCCGGAAAAAAACTGTGGCTGTTTGGTGGCGCAGACTGAAGAAATGGATACAGGAAACGGGCAGGACCCTCAGCCACATGCAAGAGGCCACGGGCAGGCACCATCTTCCTGTCTGCATGGCAAATCCCAATCAGGGACAACAGAGGAGTTAAGCCTGCTCCATCCTGCCAGGAAGAGTGCTCTCGGTGTAGGTGACACCACACAGGTCTGAAGCTCCACCCATTGACCGAGAGGTGCATCATGTTCAAAGCTCTTCTTAGGTCTAGTATTCAGGTGAAGTGCATCTTACTTTACTGGGCCCCTCTATGAAACTCTTTCATGCCTCTCCAGGGCTACCATATTTCCAGCTCCTAAGAAAGGACACTGCCAGAGGGAAGGAGAGGAAGTACAGAAGTAAGGGTGGCCATACTGCATCATGGCACCCTTATGCCTGCACTGCTGCTGGAGGGGTGATGCCTTCAGAGCTTGGGGCCTGGCCAACAGCTGCTGTGTTCACAACCCCCTAACAAAAGCCTTGAGACCCCCTTGTGGCTTGGGACCCCCCAGCCTGAGAAATGCTGCTGAAATGCGTGAGCTAAATGAAGATCCAGGGACAGTTGCAAGGCTATGGGTTCACAGTAACAAGTAGTCAAGAGTCAGGCCTTGTCTACACTGGCACGTTTTGTCACCAAAACCTGCCTTTTGGTGACAAAACAGTGAGAGCATTTACACTGCAGTGCTACTTTTGTCTGGAGAAACACCCAGTTCTGGCGACAAAAAATTTCCATTCCCTACAAGAGATTTTTGTCTTTTCCCCTCCCTTTATTGTTAACAAAGAGCCAGTGTGGACTTTGCTGTTTGTTTTGTGCAGTGAACTAGCTTCCACAGTATCCCACAATGCCTGCCCTGATGGCTCTGCTCAGTGTTCTGTGATCTCTGCTGCCCTGCAGACATGTGCACCCTCTCCTTTCAAAGTGCCAGGAAGTGTCTGACAGCTGAGTGAGCTGTTCTGTTTGGGGAACAAATCATTGGAATGCTCCTGTTCTCCCTGCTAGGAACACAGGCTGCTGCTGCGGGGAGGGCTGGAGAGACTGCTGTGCTGCTTTGACGTTCGTCAGCACAGAGAGCTCACAAAGTTAAGAAGGAATCCCGTGAAGCACAGGGATCAGCTCTGCCTTCCCACTACACGGCACTATGGGATGCTTACCCACACTGCTTTGCTGTATCTTTCGACAGGATGCTAACCATGTGACCATGAAATGTCGACAACGGGAGGCAGAAATACCAATTTGACCGGTTTTCACTTTTGCGACAGCACTTTTGTCGCCAAACCTTCCCAGTGTAGACACAGCCTCGGTGAATTGTTTTCTCAACAGCTATTCCAGTTTTCCCTTTTATAGAGGCACATCAGGAGAGGCAGACCTGCTCCTCCCAATCCTCTTGTCTCTGTTTGGCTTTATTCTGCAGGTGACCAGGGCATAGACGGAGATACCTGGTTTTACATGTTTTTAGTGCAAGTTTCCCTTCCCTAGAAGGCATCAGCTTCCTCTCTGCTCACAGGCAGTTTCCAGGTGTTTACACGTCTCGCCTATTGGCCAGCGTTGCTAGCATGCCTAATAGCAAGTAAAATAAACACTGGGCTGTATGCCAGGAATGCAGAGAAGGGCCTCACGGTATCCCCAGGAGTAAGATACATTTGACTATAAGAAATGAGATCAAAAGCCCATTTTTAGGAGATTTATTGCACCTCCCGGTTTCTTTTAGCTCAGCCCAGCAGTTTTAGATCCCGCGGGAGATGGAATTGTTGGCAGAGAGCATTCCATTAGTTTTGCAGCTTCAAAAGGTATTTTATGTTGGCAATGCCATTTTTGCACACATCTCTGCATAAACCTGGGCCTGCACATTAAAGCAGATGACGTGCCGCCAAACCCGTTTTTGTGCTGCGGCGGGTAGAGGAAGGAACAAGCGGTTGAATCTGGAGGCTCGTGATGAAATTGAAAATTGCCAAAGCCTAAAGAGCTCAGGAAGTTGCTTCGGTGTGAGGACTGCAGACCCGGTGCAATCTGCAACATCTGTCGGGTCCCAAGAGCTCTGTGCTGTCGCTGCATGGAGCTGTCTGCTTGGCAAAGAAAGCAAATAAATCTAGCAGGAGCAGCATCTAGGGACCAAGGACAAAGAGACACACAGAGCCCAGACTCCCCGTGTCAGCTGTTTGAATGTCACACATTACCCCTGTCATTAGCCTGCACAGAAAAGAGGGAGAGCAAGGATTTATAGTCTACAGAATACACTCTGGGAGGTTAGTTGCACCATAAAGTGACTGAGTTCTGAACAAACAGGATTCTGTATGGCTCCATGGGTTTTTTTTTAAACGCTTTTACAATTCTGCTTTAATATGACTGATTTTCTTTTACTGGACCAGCTGACTGACATTCTCCCAGGGAGCTCTGTGGTTCCCGTCTGTTGTGTGTGGTGAGGGGGTGTGTCATTTCATTCCACATGCGGCAAGCCCCGAACCAAGTCCTTACAGAGAGGAAAGAGGTTTGGAACTTGAAAGGGGCGAGTATTCGGCAGGGCAGTGAGACAACCAGAAAGGGCAACAAAAATGATGAGGGGGCTGGAGCACATGACCTACAAGGGGAGGCTGAGGGAGTTGGGCTTATTTAGACTACAGAAGAGAAGAGGGAGGGGGCTTAGGGTTAGGGTTAGCAGCCTTCAACTATCTGAAGGGAGGGTCCAAAGAGGATGGAGAGAGGCTGTTCTCAGTGGTGGCAGATGACAGAACAAGGAGCAATGGTCTCAAGTTGCAATGGGGGAGGTCTAAGTTGGATCTTAGGAAAAACTATTTCCCTAGGAGGGTGGGGAAGCACTGGGATGGGTTCCCTACGGAGGGGGTGGAATTTCCACCTCTACAGGTTAAGTCCCGGCCTGACAAAGCCCTGGCTGGAATGATTGAGTTGGGGTGGGTCCTGTTTTGGGCAGAGGGTTGGACTTGATGACCACCTGAGGGCTCTTCCAGGCCATCAGAGGAGAAGACTGGTTGATTGCCAGTCATGTTTATACAGCATCTCTTTCTGCCTGTTATAAACCAGGCTGCTAATTGCAGCTCCCTCTGGGGAGGAGTAGGACAGCAAGAAACAAAGAGGAGTTATGTGGGGACAAACTCCCATTCCTAAGAACAAGGCAGCAGAAGATGTAGGATTTAACCTGCTGGGGATGAATGTGAGATGCTGCAGAGCAGTGGAAGGATGGGCGGAGGGGGATGCTGGCCTAGCTAGGCTGACAGGAAGCAGAGGCAATGTGTACACTATGCTGCTCGGGGTAGTCATGCTAGATGCCCAGCACAATTTCCCTGCTCCCTCCTAGTCTGATTGTGAGTGACCCTTCCCCCCACAGCAGCTGGGCCAGGAGCAGAGGGAGAGCTCTGTGCCTGGGGAGGGGACCCCCCCAACTAGACTTTCTTCAATCCCCCCCCCCCCCACACACACACACACAGTTGCTATTACCCTGAATCTGAGCGGTCTGCTAGCCAATTGCAATCATATTAGGTGCATTCAGCCACTGCGAATTAATAAACTAGAACACCACATAGTTAAGGGTTAACTGGACAGCAGGCGCTTAGATGCAAGGTCAAAACTGGCTGGCAGCTCCTGCTAATCAGAAAGGGAGGAATGGAGAGAAAAGTAAATAGAAGGAAAGAAGATAAGTTGATGGAAACCTTGAGTCTAGATGCCTCTTGTATTAGACGTTTATTGAAAGTTAGGAAAGTGCCGATAGTGTAGGGGTCATTATGACCTATGGGTTTTGTAGAAGTTTCTTATAAAAGACTAGCTAATACCATGCCCTTAGGAGTCCTCTGAAGCCTTGTTGGGAGATGTTTTGTCCTCATGCTTTTTCTCCCTGGCAGGTGAGCAACTGGCTACTCTGAACTTGTTAGTTATTCAATACCATGCCACATTTTAGGTAAATAGCTGGGATGGTCTGAATTGATTGCTTATGTCTCCGTGTGCTTAAATTGAACAAATTGCAGCTTTATAGAGAGCGTGCTTACCTGCATTAATTATTTCTCAGACAGCATTGCTGTATTCCCATTGGTTTATTCCTGACCCCACCTGGAGTGAAATATCTCAGAGGGGGAGCCATTTAACAAGCAGTCCTGTGGCACCGTAGAGACTAACAAAAATATATTGGCTTATGAGCTTTCGTAGATAAGACCCACTTCATCAGATGAGCTAGAGTGGAAATAACAGAATCAAAGATATATAAAAGCAAAAGCAGTACTTGTCAATTGTAGGACCTCTGTTAATGAAGCTAATTAAGTGGGCTGGATGTGTCCCGTGCCTAGCTTTTCATGTAAAAATGCAGATGACAAAGCCAGAGGAAATTGGCTTTGTAGTGCATTAACCAGTTAATGTCTTTTATTTAAGGTCCTTTTATCTAAGGTCCTTCGCTGGCCTCCTCTGGACCATGCCCCCAGCACTGGAGCACAGAGGAAGCCACCCCAAGTGCCAGGACAAAGCGCAACACCCCTTCCACCCGCTACATCTGCTCCTGGAGTGGTTTACTGTGAGGAGTCTGGCATCCCCACTGACCACTGGCTGGTAGTTATGTAAAGCGATGGCCTTTGGACTGAGCACGCATTCCCGCTGTGGCTGTTCTTTCTGCATTTGTCACAAGGTAAGATCTGCTCATGGTGATGCTCAGGTATCACCTGTGCCCCGGCAGTGCCCCCAAGCCCTAGAACTGGCTCCTTAAGGCTGCCCACACATACTGGGTACATCCACCACTGGAGCTGAGGGGCTGAGCAGACAGGCCCACGCTTGTTTGGTCAGAGCTAGAGCCCTGGAAATAGTGTCGCTGCGGCGTAGGGAGGGGCAGCCCACCCCATCTGAAATCTAGGCTGGTCTTCTAGGCAGCTGGCCCCTCCCACTGCTCATGCTGCTGGGGCAACCCTCTATTTTCAGTGCACCAGCTCGATCAGTCCTGGCGTGAGTTTGTCTCCTCAAGCTGGGAACCACCCCCAGGTGCCTGTGTGGCAGCCTGAGGCCCAAGGCGCCAGCCAGGTGAGGTGTGGGACAGGAGAAAGGAAGAACGCGAGGGGAGAAGGTGTGGAGCTGGGACACATGCCGTGATCTACCCCTGGACACACTGGAACTCTGGCAGAGCCAGGCAGCTAACCTGGTTCCTACATCCCAGCTCTGCGCTTCCACTGCAGTGAAATGCCTAAAAATCCAGAGGAGAAAAATTACATCGTGACAACTTGGGTTTTCCTCTGGCTGGGGCCCTGTTGCCTGACCTGCGCTCCATCCCCCAGGCCTCTCCTGTACCAGCTGACAGGTGAAACTGACTTTCTGGGCTCTGGCACGTCCGTTTGATGGGTCACAGTAAAACGTGCAAAACTCATTCACCCCCCTGCCAACCTTCCCTCTATTTTTTTCCAACCATGTGCAGAATAAATTTTGTTATGTGCACTGAGGCATGTGCGCTTCTTTTACTGGTAGAAACACATGCTGCTGGCTGGGGGTGCTCTGCTAATCAGCTGGACAGCATTTGAATCTCCCCTGGGTGGCCACCCAAAGGGCTCAGTTTACAGTGAACATTGGCCCCTGCCTACCCTTTTCCCCGCCTCTCCGTGGGAGCCTGAAAAAGAGGGTCCCTGTTGTGTTGTCTTTACCCAGCAGCTGTGTATGGGGTGTGTGTGGTAACAAGGGAGCGACTGTGCAAGCTATTCAGCTGGATCAGTCGGAGAGATGGATACTAATAAGACAACAGAACGGCGGTGGGGCCGGCTTCACAGCACGGCGCACCCGGCGGAAGAACGAAATCATTCCTGTCCCACCGAGCAGCAACTGGGGCTTTTACTCTTTCTGTTCCTCTTGCTGGGCCTAGAATTCAGCACCAGGCTCTGGTATATTCAGCCTGGTGCCTGCCTCGCTCCACAGGACATCCTAGGCCTCTGCTCTGTCCCACTGCCCCCGCACAGCACAGGGACCCGGAATACCCGCTGCCCGCCACCTCTTGCCTGCCACAGGGGCCCTGTACTAGAGCTCCTGTACAGCCCAGCACAGGGGCTCTCTTGGATGTTGTGGGGCATTCTCAGCTGTTGAGATTTTCATGGAGGGGCTTGGAAGGTGGGGTTTCATCCCCTCTTGCATCCTTGCTCACAGTATTGTCTGCAGGACAGCAGGAGTCAGGGAAAGAACCCATAATGACCCCCCATCACAGGACCTAACCACATCAGCGATACCATCAAAGGCTGATTCACATGCACATCTACTAATGTGATATTTGCCCTCAAGTGCCAATAATGTACATGCCATGTGCATCGGACCAACCAGACTGTCTCGATGCAAAAGAATAAATGGTCACAAATCAGGCATTAAGAATGACACCCTCCAAGAGCCAGTAAGGAAGCATTTTAACCTCCCGGCACACACAGTTTCGGACTTGCAAGCTGCTGTTCTCAGACAGAAAAGCTTCTGAAACAGACTGCAAGGGGAAACTGCTGAGCTGGAATTCATGTGGAAATGTGACACCCTGAACAAAAGTCTAAATAAACACAAGGAATAGTTCTCCTATTACAAGAGGTAATTTCCCATTCAGGTACTCTCATCTTCTCACCACTGTTGGAAGGAAGCCACATCCACTCTGATTTAATTAGCATTGAGCGGGAAAAGGCCCATATCTGTATCCTTTTTTTCTCCTTTCTTTCCCTCTTGTTCTTTCTTTTTCTCCTCAGCATCTGAGGCAGCGAGTTGCAGCTCACAAAAGCTTCTGCCCCAATACATTTGTTAAAGTGCTACCAGACCTGCTTGTTTTTGCTGAAACAGACTAACATGGCTACCTCTCAAACGGGTTTCTGCTTGCTTGTGTGTGAGCAGGGACACGGGGGAGGGGGCGCAGGGACCACGTGTGGGTTGCAGTTCAGATCTGGCACCTACAAGGAAGCAAACATTCTGCTATCCAAACTGCTGGGGCCCGTAGACCTGGGCAGAATTGCCTGGCACTGCCAAAATGGGCAGAGGTTTAGGACAGGACCCAACTGGCCTCACTTGTCAGTACCAGAGAGCCAAACACCTGCTCTCAGCTGGGCCCAGCTGAGACCCTAAACAACCGGCGCCGCTGCTCAGGCTGCTGCCATCACACAGATAGGTCTAGTGCACTGTCCAGGCTGAAAATCGCCCCTCCCCACTCCTGCCTACATGTATCCTTAGGTCACAGTGGGCTGAGTTTCATTTCTTTGTTTGCCCCGTAACTTACTGAGATTGGAATCCAACCACACAGCCTGAAAAAATCATCTGGGGCAGCGCTGGGCGGCTTTGCCTTTCTTAGAAATGTGCCAGTTTCCAATGTCTCCCCTGACCTGGCTGCGGTTTGGATGCTTCCTGCAGCGAGCATGAGGCCTCCAGTTCTGGCTGGGAAGCACCAAACCCAAGCGGAGGGGGATACGGCATTGCACTCCCCACTTTGATGCACTTTTGTTCTTAAGGCTTGACTAGCCCACCCCCCTCCCCTGCAAGATGTCCACGTTTTGCTGCTGTTTCTGTAATAATGGAGAAAACGGCCTCCCTCCCAGCTCAGCGGCTCTGTGAACTCACTGTCCTTCCTGGCTGGCTGTCCCTTGGGCAGCCTAAAGGGGAAGAAGAGTCCTGAAGAAAAAGGATTTAAACAAACAAAGGTTCATCCTCTGCTGCTTCTTCATGGGGCAGATAATGGAAATAACGACTGGTGCAAACTGCGGGCACCCTGGGGTTGTGGGGTCAAGAAAGATGGGATTACCTTTGGGGATTTGTGTTAAGCAGTGATGTCATAATGATCTGATGTCATCAGTTCCACCACTTCCATCACAATGGATCTGCACGAGGAAAGAGCCCTTTAAGCACAGGATCCTTCTGTAGGGGCTTTGGGTTCAGTAACTCTGGCAATGGGGTTTCCGCCACTAAGATAGGTACATGTACACATGAAAATGCACATGCGTGTGCACACGTGTGCATGCACTCATCCCACCCTCATCCAGCCCTGCTTTATATTTTTGCACTTCTATGAAACAGCCCGACCAAATGGTTTTAATTGCTTAATAAATAGTACCCAGGTTTTCCCCCAAGTGTCTCTGCTGTGAACTCGGTCCAAGCATCTGTGGCCAAGTTACTAACTTTTACAATGAAGATGCTGTAGCGCTGGGAATCTACTGCCTGCACAAGAAAGGTCCCCGGCCACTGGGACAGAGATTTATTTACAGCCCTGCCAAGGGGACTCACATTTGTTCTCCGGTCCCTGGCACGCCTGCCCAGTGATTGCAAGTGGAGGCTGTCGGGGTCTGTCTGGCTCATCCCAACCAAAGGGCAGGAACTCCCTCCATCCAGCAGCCGTGAGATTGCTGGGAAGAAGTAAACCATTCAGCTCTCATCCATAGCTTTGGGCTAGCTGGCTCAGGACCGGCTCCAGCCAGTGATGTACTCCCAGGTGGCTTGCACGGCTAAATCCTGCATTCCTGTTCGGGGGACAGACACCATGGCTGTGTCTAGACTGCATCCCTTTTCCATAAAAGGGATGCAAATTAGACACATCGCAATTGCAAATGAAGCGGGGATTTAAATCTCCCCCGCTTCATTTGCATAAACATGGCTGCCGCTTTTTTCCGACTCGGGGCTTTGCCAGCAAAAAGCGCCAGTCTAGATGGGGATCTTTCGGAAAATAAAGCCTTTTCTGAAAGATCCCTTATTCCTCTTAAAAAAAGCGGCAGCCATGTTTATGCAAATGAAGCGGGGGAGATTTAAATCCCCGCTTCATTTGCAATTGCGATGTGTCTAATTTGCATCCCTTTTACGGAAAAGGGATGCAGTCTAGACACAGCCCATCTCTCCTCTCACAGGAAAAGGTGTTACTGGAAGAATTGGTTTCTCTGACAAGCAACATGAAAAGAAACACAAACAGCGACTGGCTACAGCCCCATTTTGGTCTAGTCCCAGACTCCAGTGATTCTGTGGAAGCATATGGGGTGTGAAGGTGACCATTATCTGGGTCACTTGAAGTCTAGGAAGACCTCCCAAGGGGAGGCTGCCTCTCCAGTGGAGACATTAATAGCTTCTTCAGGATGGGAAGTGTCCGCGGTTTCGCGCTATAATTAATTGTACAGCAGATGACACATGCATTCAGTTTTCTAGCCAGCTGTCGGATGCAGCCCCACTGGTGTGCAGGCCTCTCTCCACGTCCAGAGAGAAATCAGATTCCTGCAAATGTCTTAGTCTAAAAATTCACACTGAAAAACGACCTCTGGGGCTCTGAATAAAGAGGAACAGATGTGCTGACATGGCCAAAATGCTGACCAGGAAAAGCTGGGGTCTCGTTAAAAAGCCATCATCGGGTACGAGAGGCAAATGTCCATCTGCGCCAGGAACGGGAAGTTTTGGGGCTGAGGAGAAGAGCTGAGGGTCGCTAGCTAGCATGGCCAACCTGTGGCACTAGTCAGCTGGCCTGTCCTCTGCCCTGTACATCTAGGAGGGGACGTGCAGCGGCTTTCACCTGCCTGGCCAAAAGGTTCTGTGTTGGCCCCTTTCTCATTTCCCACAGGCGCTCCAGCGTAGGCAGGGCTGGCCTGGGGGAGATCTCCCTGAAGCGAGCTGGAGCCCCGTCCCCTGTTCATCGCGCTGCTGTTTGCTCCCCAGAATCCAGAAAGCTCCTTGACCTATAACCATGCTGGTGTAGGGCCAGGGTTCTACACAGCTCCAGCATCCATGTCACCATGGCAACCGGCTGGAGCACCCCACATGGAGGCTTTTTTCAGCATCACTGCCCCTGGGAGGAGCCTTCCTCCCCTTGCTGGGGGCACCAACAGCAGCTGGGAAATCTCTTCAGGTGACCTGCTGGCTTGAGGCCCACCCCCGGCCAGGCACTGTCTCCCTTCTCAGGAGTCTTCTGTGCCCATGGAGGGCCAGGGTTCAATGTGAGGGCGCCAGCCATGGTCCAGCACAGCCGTACGCTGCTGAGAGCCATGCTGCGGCCGTATGTGGCTCTGCAGGGATGGCCGGCCGAGATTCAGCCCTCAACACCCATTCCCTAGGAGTGAGGGGGGTTCCCTACCATCTCTGGGAGGATGGTCACTGGTCAGGCCTCACCCTTATGGCCTCTGGCAAATCAAGTAGGCCCAGTGCTTCAAGGGTAATGAAGTGCCTAAAGCCCACTGACATCCATGGGAGTTAGGAGCTGACTCTGTGGCCCTGAGATCCTATCTGTTAAATGGGCGAAACAGCTCTGTCCTGCCTGCTGTGGGGGGCTCTGATACCATGGTGAGGGGTGGCCTGCTATGGAGCGCGACAGAGACCATTGATCCACGCAGAGGCTGCACTGTGCCGCGTGTAGGGCTAGGCAGGCTTCCCTGCCCCCCTGGTCAGACGCTTGCTCTGTAGGGAGGGGTTCCACACAGCTCCAGCATCCCACCCTCTGTGGGCCTGAGGTGAGAGGGTGGCTGGGCATTTCCTGCCTCAGCCCAAGGCCCTGTCAGTCCAACATTTGCCATGGCCAACGCTTGGCTACATTCGTCTCTGCCGGGGCATCTCTTTCCTTTCAGCTTTGGCGCAGAATGGCCGCCAGGCCCCATCCATCACCTGATTGCTTCAGACAAAAGCACCCTGATTAAACAGGGCACCTCTGCCTTTCCCTGGCCGGGCCCACCTCTGTGCGTGCCCATTTGCTGCGGAGGTAGATGTAGCTGTATCAACACATCTGTTAAACTGAGCCATACAAACAGCGGCTGAGAAAGGAGGGGAGACCCCAGGAGATGGGGGGAGGGAGTTTGTCGTTGCATCAACAGACTCCGCTAATGCTAATCGGTCCCCGCCTGGGAGCCAGCAGAGCCTGTCCTGCCGTGGGCACAGGGGTGTTTCATCTGGCACGAAGAATGGGCTGCGCAAGGGGCAAGCACAGATAGGCAGCAGGGTGGCTGCCACATATCTAGTCCCATGTGCTCAGCCATGGCCGCTTTCAGGTCCTACACACCAGCTCCCCCTTCAACCCAAGGTGCGGCAGAGCCAGGAACACCCAGGACTGGCCAGCTAATGACATTGTCTCCAACTGTTCTGTGGCTCTTTCAGCTCCCCACTGTTTAGGCCTTCCAGACCAGTGCTGGGCTAGGGAGTGGGGCACACCGCCAGTCCCTCTTGCCCCATGGATTCCTGGCCAGGGATTCTATGTCAAATGTTCCCATTCTCCTTTGCTTGTCCTGGTTCAGAAAAGGGCAACAAAAATGATTAGGGGTTTGGAACGGATCCCATATGAAGAGAGATTAAAAAGACTGGGATTTTTCAGCTTAGAAAAGAGGAGACTCAGGGGGGACACGATAGAGGTCTATAAAATCATGACTGGTGTGGAAAAAATGAATAAGGAAAAGTTATTTACTTATTCCCAGAATATAAGAACTAGGGGTCACCAAATGAAATTAATAGGCAGCAGGTTCAAAACAAACAAAAGGAAGTTTTTCTTCACTCAGTGCACAGTGAACCTGTGGAACTCCTTGCTAGAGGATGTGGAATTTAACAGGGTTCAAAAAGAGCTAGATAGATTCATGGAGGTTAGTTCCTTCAATGGCAATTAGCCAGGATGAGTAGGAATGGTGTCCCTAGCCTCTGTTTGTCTGTAAATGGGTGACAGGAGAGGGATCATGTGAGGATTATCTGGTGTGTTCCCTCCCTCTGGTCCATCTGGTCCTGGTCACTGTCAGTGGACAGGATACTGGGCTAGATGGACCTTTGGTCTGACCCAATATGGCAGTTCTTATGTTCTTATTGCTGGTCTAGGGTAGCCTCCACTCTGCTGAAGCCTGTCCCTGCTGGCTCAGGAAGAGGCCACCTCACTAGCTTTGAGAAGGCGGCAGGGGCCTTCCGCCCAGGGGGAGCCAATAGGAGACCAAACGAGGGAGGATTCTGAGCACGACCCCTTAGCCAGGAGCCATTTCCGGTCACAGCGCAAACATCCCTTGCCTTCCATGGAGTCTGCTCTATTGTCCATGGCATCGGTACCTTCTCCAGAGCAGCACGGCGGCTCCTGCAGAGCCAGGCAGGGATTGACTGTCTGCTGCCCTGTGAAATATCTTCCCAGTTCGGGACGGTCACTAAAGGGCATTATTTCTTCCCATTGGGTCTGTCTTCGCTCATTAGCCTCCCAGCTCTTCGGGCAGGGACGCTCGCTCGATATACATACGTACAGCCCCAAGCGCACTGGGGTCATGCAGCTCCCACCTCACCTGTCAATCATGTTTGCTAGCAGGTTGCATGCAGAAAGGACATCCCTGCTATCTTCTGGGCTTCTCAGCTGTGGATTGGAACGGCTGGCTTCAGCTCTGCAGGTTTGCCGGGACTTGCGGTGGGCAACACTTTACTGCAGAGGAAGCCCTTTGCTGTTATTTCATGGTCTTAGCTCCTGTCTCGGTGCCCTGACATGCAGGGGCAGAGATCAAAGTGATCGAGCGCGAGCCTGTGTTCTGAGCTTTCACTGGTCTCTGGAGCTGCAGCTTGCTGTCTGCATGCCGGCCTTCTAGGCCTGGTCACCCTACCTACCATGCACCTATTATCTTTGGCACGTGTCGGAGGAGTTCAGGTTAGATCACCGGCCGGGTTAGAATTCAGGGCGTTTGACTCTCACTTGAGACCTCTTGAGCTGGCAGCTGTAGTAGGCTTTTCTCCTCTTCTGTGAGCCAGCCACTAGATGGGGTTAGCCGGGCCAGTGTGCTGGACACAGCGACCTACATTCCTGGGGCAGTGCCCTGACATGAGTGCACTAGCCTGCCTCTCCTTTGACCTCATGCTGTCAGCAGACATGCAGAGGGTTTGAGACCCTTTTGCACGGCCCCTGAACTTCGCCGGTCAGTGCAAGTACACCCGTGGACAGGAAGTGCGGGGCTGGCACCGGGCCTGCCTCAGGGCCATAGCCCACATAGGTTGCACAGTGTGGGACTACTGCTGTGGAGAAGGCTGCAGCTGCCCCACGCCCACTGTTATGATGGGACACCTGCCAAACTGGAGTATTCACTATGGCCTGCTGCTGAAGTCACCCTAGGTCCCAGGCTGGACCCAGCGAGGCTGGCCTGGCCTGGAGAGCGGGGTGATTCAGGGGTCTTGGCCGCACGGGGAAGGGTTTAATTGCAGCACTGAAATAAAGGAAGGGAAACGCTGCGCAGAACAGATGGCAGGTGCCAGATGGAGAAGCTGTCTGTGGAGTGACGTGCTATTATACAGAGAGAGCCATCAGCTTCAATGAGCCCAGCTCCAAACCATCAGGAATTAACTTGGCCCTTAGCACCAAACTTTGCCTCAGAGTCGGAGTGACCAGGTGCTGGGCCAGTTCCCCCTCCACGCCGCAGACCCTCCTGCCTCCCCAGACCTGGACCCCCAAGCTGCCCTACGGTGGATTAAATAGGGACACAGATGCGGGCCCCGTTTGCAAGAGAGGGAAAACTAAC